GTATTTAATATAGGAAAGACTTCAAACTCGTTGTTTTATACAAACGCTGAGTTTTCCACGCGAAAATATTCGATCCTCCATTTGTGTCATAAGAATCTATCTGCCCGGACACCGGTTATCATGACTCAAGCTTTGAATTGTTTTCTACCGTCCCTCCATGCAAATGCCGCGGGAATACATCTGCAATTAGGCCACGATTGCTTTCTTCCACGCCATTTTCAATTCATTACAGTCTTACCATTCGACATTGGTTGGGTCAAGAATTTTCTCTTCTTCAAATCGTCCAGACTGGCTCTGGGGTCCACCCAACGTCCTATCCAATGGATACCGGGGTCTTTTTCCCCGGGGGTAAAGAGACCTTATTGTGAACTTGTACTATAATAGACTCCTTCTAGTGATCAGGCAATTTTTTCCTGATTCGAAATGAAATTAATTTCCTTATGGATCTCAGAACGCCATATTTCACCTCCTGCTTGAATAAGTTCTGCCGGAATTTGATCACAACCTGGCGCTTTATAAAGCTATCAATGTAACAATCCATGAAGGCCCATTAGGGTTGTGAGACGTCGAGGCTCCCATATTTTCTCTAGACAATCGGCTGACAGAAGACGGTAAGGTTGTGAGCCTTACGCGCCCGTCGCCTTTACACCNCCAGTAAGATTTCTGATATTCGTTTCTGTTAGACGCTGAGCCGACCCCAGGCCCATACTTCGTCTGCAAGGATTAGGTAAATTTAAAAAAAAATCCACTTCTTCAGGACTCGAACACGAGACCTTCCGCCTTGTATTATAGTGGCTCAACCAACTGCGCTTACGCGTGTCCCCCTTGGGGATTTATATCTTTTCAATTTTGCAATAGCACTTTCAACCTCAAAAGGGCTAGGATCAGGCATTAACGACTCAGGTGTGTGTATTTCTCTCTGCCTAACATCACTGACCCTATGTACATTCAGTAACTGAGAGAAGTAGTTCCTCCACCTATTCAAAATGTTGTGGGAATCTGCAAGCAGATCACCATTCTCATCCTTCACTAAGTTACTGCTAGGTTGGTAACCCCTCTTAAAGTAATTTGTTCTTCTATACCTACCTACCAACCACTCGGCGTTACAGCCCTGGGTGAACCTTGGCCTCCTCTTATTCCTTTATACAGGTTTCTAATATTACTGTTCTTACTGTACGTTGCGAGCTCATTAATACTGTCTTTAAGATATTCCCTGTTTTCATTCCTGAAATGCCTGCGGGCTTCACGTCTTATATCGTTCAGTTTATCCACAGTTATTTCGCTTGGATTCTGTAACCATTGTAATTTTCCTTGCTTCCGTCAATCTAATAATTTTGAGCATTCTTCGTCGAACCATGTCTTATGTTACTTCGGTTCATAACATTCTAGACTCTCTTTGGCTGAAAATTTTATATTTTCTCTAATAGTTTCCCAAGCTCTATTAATATCCACCTCGTGGCCTAAGTTTTCCAAAGATGCGAAACTGTTTGAGATTGTAACACGATACTTCTCGTTGACATCTACCTCGAGTAATTTCTTGAAGTATTACAGACATTAAAAATTCAGTGTCCTTACCTCAGAGGAAACACACAGAGTTTCCACCGTTTATTCTAGGAATCACATGAAACAAATACATTCTGTAGACACTAATGCAATACTTTTCAATATCTAACGAGATGGTGCATAAATATTATGCTTCAAAGGGGAAATTTCAATGCCTATCCAAGGAGTTCATAAATTAAAGACCCTGAATTAACCCTATACTGTTTTCGGACAGTCTGTGTATTACTTAAATTAGCTTTTCGAATGTATTATTTTCTTTTAGCACGTGCCCCAAAATATGAATATTTTTATGATATACATGTATGCAAGCCCTGTCCTTTACACGACAATACTATGGCGCCATTTTGTTACTACAAGCAACACTATTATTTCATGCAGATCAACATGAAACGACTGTATGTGAAAGAGAAGGGAAAAATGTTAATGTACAAACTCAGTGACGGGATTCTTGGAATTCTTGAACAAATTGTTTTCTCCAGACTTTGTGACATGGGGAATTCTACTACGCATAGGAGAACAGTCACCCAGAAGGCGATAAGAGGCTACTCTCTCATCATCCTATCTGAGTCGTTGAAGACAAAGAGATCCGTGCTTCTGCTGCGAGCGCAGTAAAGTGACCCCAGCTGTGGAGATAAAGCTGACGTATTGCATCAACATTCGACTTCCTGTTCATGCAAAGTACGGAGCATTCTCGAGGCTTGTGAACGTATTCAACAAGCTCGTTCAGTCGGATTTGCCGTTAAAAGAGACATTATTTGATAAGATGTACAATTTTCCCTAATGTCTGTTCTGGGTTTGTCATAACGCTAATCAATATTGTGACATGTAAATCCATTGCTAGGCAACGCCCGCAACGCACCCACGGTCAACAATACTGGAGAAGTATTTCTCTGTATCCGTGCAGCTTGCGCATGCTCGATGACGTCACACAACAATGTTCGAAGAGTGTTTCTTTGTGTCCGCTCAGTTTGCGCATGTGTGGTGACGTCACACAACAGAGTGTAGCAATCACGTGTTGTATTTTCCGTGACGCATGTCCGAGCTGTCAATATAATAAAAACAGTTTGTGTGGAGGCGGGCTCAAATACCTCCAACGTTACCCTGCGAGTCGTAAGAGGCGACGAAAAGGGAAGTCTCAAATCGGAGACAGTAAAATATGTTCACGAGTAACAAGGGACTCGGACAAGAGAAAGACTGCCCTGGCAAGGACCAACAGCATATACAAAAGACAGACCCTTTCCTCTCGTTAGAGAGGGCGGCCCACAGAAAGAAGACCGTAACTGTCAAACAGTAATAAATATCTGGTCATGACCTTCAGATGACGCTCGGAACCAAGACTTACTGACTGACTGACTGACCGTCAGTGGCAATGTGGCTTTGACTTTGACTTGGAACAGAGCGTCAAGAATTCAGTTCAGTTGTCGTTAGGAGATATCCATGGGGGCTTCGTAGTTGAAGAAGGATCAGAAGTAGGCCTATGATGATTTAAAGTGTGAACTGAAGACTTTATATGTGCTGTAGTACAGTGATAATGGGAGTATGTGATTTTAAGTGATCGTTCCTGTATTAAAATTCGTTGACAGGAAACGGATAGTGAAGACACTGTAAAGGCATAGCCATTGTTGAGTTCTGTTACCCAGCAACGACCAGTTAAAGCAGATATAGACGACTTTATTTTATGTTATAATTTCAGTAATCTTTAGATTGTTCTAATTAATTTTAGTTACGACTTATGAATACCCAGTAAATCGATTCGCCAATCAAAACTTGTCCACGGGTCACTAATACACGTAATAATATGCACGTGTCCCACAGTAAAACCTTTCTGCAACGGAATATTAGATAACCCCCTAAAGCTTAACATTTACCTAAATAATACTTAAAAATTAATTTCCAGCTTCATAAAAATTACCCTGCCTCTCCATCACAAAGACCAATCTGTTAATGCTGTTTAGAAGAATAATCACTGCTTATTGTGAAAAGGATAAAGATTACAGGAAAGTCAGTGGGGGAAAAATGTAGATATACTGATTATTAATGTAGATGGTATATAGGTATATAATTACAACAGCATATTAAACTGTTATCCGGAGACTTACGAGTATTCTATCGGGATATTTAACTGGTCAATATAAAGTCACGTGTAACAAATGGAAACAAATCGAGAATTTAACGCGATTGCTTCCTGTGCCTGTAATTTAATCGTACTAATTATTACTTGAAAGATCAGAAAATGGACATTTCTGTAAAAAATTAATATCTGCGTATTCTGATGCTCACGACCATGATGACGACACCGGTAGGGCCTAATTCCCTTCAAACTTTGTTACCCATTTATCGGACTGCAACCTACAACGCTACAAGATGAATATTCAAAGCCACAGAAACGTTAAACCTTACCGGTATATATATTTTCGTGTACTGCGAACATAAACTCAATATCATGTCAGTACGTTTAAATATAATACTCGCACGCGGTAGCGTAGTTGGCTTAGGCAATATACTACAAGCCGGAAGGTCACGGGTTCAAATCCCGATGAGGTCATTGAATTTTTTTTAATTGACCTAACCCTTCCAGCCGTACTATGGTCCTGGGGACGACTCAGCCTCTAACAGAAACAAGTACCAGGAATATTGGAATATTCTTGAGGGTAAAGGGCGGCCGGTGCGTAGGGCTGACAACCTTGCCGCCATCTATGAGCCGATTGTCTAGAAAATGTGTGAACCTCAACATCTGACAACCCTATGGGCTATGATTTCTGCTTCTAGTGCCACGACCTTGACACGAACAACTATGTGGGAATCGTTTAAGTTGCGTTCATGAATATAAAGGTTTAACCGTTTTTATGTTTGATTTCATATGTATGTATACGTTTTATTTTCCTTGGCACTACAGCCCCAGTGCGCCTAGTCCTACCTCCATGAACTTCTCCGTTCACTTCGGTTTTTCTAGATCTTACACATTCGGTAGGACTCCTTGGGCGGGTGATCAGCTCGTCGCAAGGCCTCTACCTGTACACAAACACAGAAAAACGCACACACATAAATTAAACATCCATGCCCTGGGTGGGATTCGAACCCACGATCCAGGTTCCCAAGCGAGCGAAGACAGTACATGCCTCAGACCGCTCGGCTACCGTGACTGGCTCTGTATATACGTTTATAAGCGATAATTTTTACTGCTGATTTTCCATAGTTTCAAGAGGAAACACTAATTACGAAAGCTAATAACTTTTAAAAAGTGTGTTATACACGTATTTTGTGGTTTCTATGTAATTTTGTGTGTATCCACCATGACAGAAACATGTAAAGGAACTAAGTGACATTGCAGGATTCAAAATTTTGTGACAGTTTACCGTCAGAATTCATAGTCTTAACAAGCAGGATGCAACATTATAAAAAAAGGATTGATGTCGTAGCATATCACGTGACTGATAAGCAGAAATATAGAGGCGTCTACTTCTCATTCGCCAGCTGCACAAGAGTGAGAGTCCGAACGTCTCGTGTACTGGTCGTTACAATTTGGAGCAGTCTTCTTCGCCGGGTAAGTACACCAGCTCCAACTGTTACAGAATTAACCTTTTCGGTGCTGAATTTTATGGCTAAATTTTAGAATACTGTGACATGCGCATTATGTCGTTGTTGGTCCATTGTTGTGGTAACCACTTTCGTACATCAATCTGTCGTAACTGTGGGCATATTTAGGGCCCTTTTAGTTTCAGTTTCAATACACAAGTAGTTGTCGGTATTGGGCATTAATTTCACTTGGATATTATCGGTACCGGCGGTAAAGCCATTGTATATAGAAGCTGGCCTTCAATAGCACGGCAGGTTGTGGCCATTTTGTTCAGTTCGTTGAAGCTCGAATGTTGTTTTACGCTCCATAAGAAAAGGCTTCACTTAATATAAGTTATTTACAATACACTGGCTCTCAGTCAATTTTTACACTGACTCTATTTTTACAATATGTTAAAACTACCCAGACTGAAAGATGACGATTTGCATAAAGTTTTTGTAACTTAGTTACTAACAAGAACATATACTTTCAACGAATCACAAAAAAAAAACTAACATGTCGAAAAATTCTCTTCCACATTTTGTTTGTTCACAAAAGAAAAGTAGCAGGAATGTTTTCCTTGTTTTGCGTCTGCCGTGCACAATGGTCTATTTGCCATGTAATTAAAACATTTGTAAATAATGCCGCCATATTATACTTGTTCACAGAAAGAGAAAAATTGAGAAAATTGTTCCTTTTTTGCCAGTTTCTTAATCATTGGAGTTATATGGCAGTACACACCGAACAATGTTTTTCACACGCAGTACATTTATGTGTTTAGTTTTTATTTGAACTAAGTACATAGTGATGCTTCAAATCCAGATTGCAGGGCAAAGTCATTACGTTAACCCATCAAAGAGATCCTTTAAAAATGTGGCACTTCAGATATTTTTGATCGACATTAACAAATCAAAACTGGATTCAGGAGAAAATTAAGGAGACTGCATTCGCGTAACACTTGCTACCCTTCACTCCTGAACCTCACTGTAGTACTGTTCTCATTTTCTTATGTAACTACCCCGGACTAATTCTAGACTACGTGGTTCACGAAGCTGTTTCCACGGACGTGTTTGCTTTATCTGTAATATGTGATGGGTTATATTCGAAGTTTTAAGTTACATACTTAGGTATATTTAGTCTCTACATATGTGATGTTACTTATGGTTTTGTTGGTTGGTACATTTTTATTTGGTTCGGTGTGTGGCTAGCTGATATTCGTTTCCTGAAGAAAACGACACTAGCTAGCAGCACACAACAAGCCCTGCATCCTAGGTATCAGCACAGTCGGCCACACGGAAACACCTAGCACGAATGACCATGATGGTCGACTGCGAAACAAGAAGCTTCCGTTCTAACAGAAACATATATTACGATGAATCTTAGAGAGATGGGATTGGGTGGTATGGACTGAATTGATCTGGATCAAGATACGAACCAGTGGATACGGTACTGAATCTTCAAGTTCCATTAAATGTTGGGAAATTCCTGAGTGATTGAGCCACTTGCAGCTTCTCGAGGAGGACTTCTTTGTAATTCGTCTTACACGTAAAATACTAGCATACATTTCATCAGGTTTCATCACTATGTTTCCTGTATGGAATTCAATGATTAATTTCTAACAAATCATAAACGGATGATGGCGTGCTGAGTGAAACGTCAAGGTATTCATTATTTTGTTAGTCTGAAAATTAAACAATACAGCAGTCGGGATAGCTCAGTCGGTATAGTGATGGGCTAGGAGCTGAAGAGCTCGGGTTCGACTCCCGGTAGCGCGAGATTTTTTGTTTTCTCCACAGTGTCCATACCGACTCTGGGGCCCATCCAGCGTCCTAACCAACCGGAACCGGATGCTTTTTCCCGGGGTTAGGCGGCTGGCCCTGAAGCTGACTACTCACCTTCATCTAGCGCCAAGGTCAAGGAAGTGGAGCTATACCTCCACGTCCCTATATGTCTTCATTGCATAGAGTTTAATTAAGCACAGGGAAAACTTTACCTTGTTTTACCTCTACATAAACTAAACACACACACATCTATATATATGTATATAAACATGCGAACTTACAGAAAGACCTCATGATATAGTTACGGGCCATGTTACGACAAGTAATTAACTAAAGTTTTAACTTATAGGAAGTTAACGGGAAAATCACCTCAGCTGTATGCGCGTGAGGCTCTACTCGCGGGGNGTCCACTGGCTGTGCATGTTGTAGCCCTTGTGCGGTTGTAGCCAGATTGTCCGACTCGGGGTGCAGCTTGATGTGATCATAAATTTGACAACTTCCCCACCCTACTTCAAGCGTACGTGGGTACACTGGAAACCCGCTAGCGGTTGAAAATTTAGTCCAGAGCGATATAAGGTATAAGGGGAAGTAATCCTTGAATCCGAATATCTCGCGAATCACAAGGAATTTAGAGCGCGTATGAACAAAGTATTCCAAAATTTGTATTCTGAGCTTCAAAATTTTTTAAATATATTGCACATAAGCAAAGTGTTAGTCATTCTGTATTTCAGCATCCTGTTGCAAAATTTTAATTAAAACGTCTATGTATCCACAGTCCGTCAATAATGCAACATTTCACCATTTAACACTTAACATAACACGTTTCGGCCATAGATGGCCATCTTCAGGTGTCTTAACGTATCGAAACTGTTATACTGCTCTAAAGTGCGCTAATACCGCGAGTTGCAGTCCACTTAAAGTAACATAAAATTAATTAATTAAAATCCATTAAAATTTTCTATTAATGAGTTGGAATATGATTTTCCAAAAATAATTAAAAATTAATGGAAAATTTTAATGGATTTTAATTAATTATTTTAATGTTAATATATAGACGTTTTAATTAAAGTGTTAGTCTCCTAGCGATATGAACGGGGTAGATCCACGGCCATATTCCTAAAGATTATAACTTAGAAAGTTTTTAACCATTTAGTTCTTAGCATAGGGTAAAAGGGCCAAGAAAGCCACCAATTTGATTAATTAGCCGCAGATTTATAACGGAATGACAGAAATGATCACACCTGAAATTCTTCAGAATCACAATTTCAAATAAATATAATGGTTTCTAAAATCCTGCTTATTATTTTAAAAAGAAATGTTCAGTTAAGAGAAGGAAAATTTACGTTGTTATCCTATATACATAGTAATTAACGTCAGTCGTGTCTAAAGTTTTATTCAAATAAAGCCTATATGACATGATATAACATAAATTATTAAAATTCGAAATCGTCAGTTCCAAAATTTCAAGAAGTCATTAGATAATGCGAGTGATCGGAAAACGCTTAGCATGAACCAAGTCTTAAAACAGGCAAATGCTTTTATGCCTAATCAGAATCGCTACTTAAGCAGCATATCCCGAATCACACAATATAGACATGTGCTCACAGCCTACCGACTAACATCAAACTTTGAACTCGAAGTACTGAATCTAGTCACCTTTTAGATGAGAATCGAAACAGTCATCGCCATAGTCCACACAAAAATAGGTGTTTCTATTACTCCCTTCACCCCCAGGTTTAGTCTTTACTTCTTTGATATCTACTTTCGGTCTTTTCTCTTACTGTTCTTAAGACCTACTCGTACTGAGGAAACGTCAGAGCGTTACGTTTGCGATCACCTGGATAGATCGACCTACTGACGTGGGGTAAGCAAGTACAGCTTCTTCAGGAGACTTAGACATTTCCTGATTTTACATACTGGTGGCCCTTCTTCAGCTCGGCTGACTTTGCAATGTACCGGAAATTTTGAGACAAAAGCTTGGTAGGGCACCTGGATTACATGGGCGACTTCCTGTAGATTTAAATCCAGCTGTTACAACTCTTGGGGCGGCAGTCTTCATCCTAGCTTCGGCGGATAGTTTTGGAAACAGAAGTTGTCCGATTCCCTTTCCAGGATTCTTCTTCCTGTAGTTGTCCAGAGCTTTATTCCAATGATATTTCAAAGGTAGGAAAAACTTCTGTCCGTTGGTTGGTGGTCATAGTTAGGAGCAGGAAGGCCCAGTAACTGGATATGTAGCTCTTCCGCTTCATCAAAATCAGAGCTAATAAACCAGTGTTTGCCCGTCGTTCCACTTTTCCATGGATTCCCTATGCTGCGTTACACCCATATTTAAACAGCAAACCTGCTAACGCGATTTCTTATAAGTCAAAATCAAGCAGTAAAAGGCCGATTCCTTGTTAGAGTTGCTTTACAATATCCGTGCAAGACAGTATTTCCTCCAGGTTTGTTTACAGGACATCTCTGTGGGATAACCCAGTCACGAAGTGTATCCTGGTCACAGCTGCAAAGAGAGCACATATGCCTAGCTTCAAAAATTCTGTTGACCGTTGTGCCCTGACACCTTTGCATATTTCCATTATGATCTTAGTATACTGTCAGGTTTTCAAACAGAAATTATGAAAGACAAAATAAAACCAACAGCAGAAGAATGATATGTAGTTTAAAGATCGACCGAAAGAGGCTTAACTAGAAGAATGTCAATGCTGCCTTAAACAAGCTGATCTTACTAATAAATATACAGTTTCTCTCATTCCACTGAAAATTAGGTAAAACGCAGAATGAAATTGGTGGCATCCTTAGCCTAATCGACAGTGGCAGTATTAACAGGAATTATGTTCTAGTACTGCCGTCCCTCCTCTTCTACTTTTGTGCCCGCTGTTCCGGCCGCTCCTTTCCTCCTTGTAGTTGCCACGGCTACTCCTGCTTGCCGCNGTAGGCACCTCCCCTCCAGGGCCTCACACATTCAAGTCCACTAGTAAACGGTTACACTAGGGTGTCGAGATATAAGTTAAAGGAATAATAAAATGACAAATATTGCAGTGTCTCTACCAGTAAGAGCAAATAATACAGTATCAAGTCATGTTTAGGTGATAATGGCATCAGCTGAGAACGGTAACACCGAGGCACTTATCCCGTGAGCGCGCGAATATTCACGCTCCGAAAACGGAGGCAGGCAGTGACAAGCAACAAGTTATCGAGATTTTGCACCATAATTAGGTAGCTCTCGAAAGTTTCAAAGTGCCACTGATGTAGTCAGTGGGCATGCTGTAGTGCTTAAAGCAACTATGAACTCTCTAGGACATTTTCACAAATATTTTCAGTAAAAATTTGTTCCGTTATTATCCATCTAGTGTTGTTGGTCACCTTTATCCTACGTCCATATTAAGTTATATTGGAAAGCAAATTAATTTTAAATGCAAATTTATATGTATAATCATTTCGACGACTAAATCGAACAAACAAGCACATTCATATCGAAAACTTTTCCAGTGTTTCTGATACGAATATTCAAATTATTGCGCTGTAACTGAACTTTAACGGTCCGTTATAACGCATTGCCGATCAGATTAATTAAACCTGCTTCAATCTGGTCCCTTGTTAACATTTCATCTGTACCATTATGCACCTACATTACGGCAACTCCTACACTCGTAACACAAGCAAGTGCCTTCGACCCTGGAGATGTATGGTCCTCAAACTGACACATGAGCTAACTTCCTTCGCAGTTTACTCTGAAACCCGATCACAAAATATCCTAAATAAGTAAAATCTGTAAGGAGTCCGACATCTTCCATAACACTAGTTTATGCTGATCTACTGCAGCTAACTGGCGACCAAATCGTAAGCCTCCGAAGAAGTGATATAGCAAGTGGCAGTTAGAAAGGGCAGTTACACTGAATGGCGCTCCCAACAGCGGGGACTATGAACGGTTATAAACTAATGGTTCGTCAACAATAGCGGAGCGTATAAACGGCCATACCAGTGTAGCCTTGTTGAATATATTTCACTGCGCTAAAATGAAGGTCTACGTATGCTTTTGTGTGTAACTACATATATACATTTATATATTACATTAAAAAACAACTGCGAAATAATATTATGACTCACATGTTTACGTTTAGGCAGAATATAAAACTAATGGGGACACTTTTCGTTCTAGGCACAATGGTGTATCTCTATCACTACACTTCATCCGACGGATATGCAGGAATTTTAGTGGATGGAGTTATCCGCCGGTCTACAGACACGAATCGAGATGCAGTTCTGGGAAAAGGTGTTTACTTGACCGCTCTTCCCCCTTGGACAGATGATATGAAGCTGCTGAAGAACAACTGGGACGGGAGTTCTGAACGGCGGCTTTTAGAGAAACTCGATAATTTGGACTATTATATAAGATTTGATTCGAGGGATCTCCCAAACGTTAAAAGAGCACCAGGCAAGCGCGATATTTGGATGGTATCGTATGACATTGTTCTGGAGGAAGTACCACACGAAGTGTGTGTGCGAGGAAACAATGTGGCTGTCGCAACGCGTTACGGGTATCTGTAACACACCCAGCAGCATTGGGCAAATCCATGCCTGCTTTGTAGTGCACTGTATTCATGTGTGTGTAGTGCTGTTGTATTGTCCGAATAAAATAATCATTTAATTCGATCAAATATCTTACGGTGTTGTATATTAAGATTGATGTCATATGGGATGTTGAGCCGTGTAGTTCGGTAATGGCACCAATGTTGCGGATGAACCTACCGCCCAAAACATATCCCCAAAATATTGCAATCTTCAGTGTAACAGATCTCAGTTCGTGTAACATCGTTATAGAACCAGAGCTTGTAACAATGATATCCGGAAAGTAAAGATACAAAGTCCAGACCATCTTTGTAAAGCATTTTTCTTCTCAGGGATTCACTTGTAGCACTTTTATAACATACCTTTATTTACTTTCCAACACAGTCACCATGGATCGCAATGCACTTTTTTTATTGCTAGTGGGGTGGGACTAAGTCCCTTGTACTGCGGCCACTTCTGGCCTATTGTACCAGCCCCAAATGATAGGTGAGGGTGATTGTGGAGCAATTGGTGGAATGAAGATTGGCAGGGGAAACCGAAGTACTCTGAGAAAACCTGCCCCAGCGCCACTTTGTCCACCACAAATCCCACTTGACCAGACCCGGGATTGGACCGGGTCGCCGCGGTGGGAAGCCAGCAACTAACTGCTTGATCTATGGCGCAGCCCCAATCGCAATGCACTTAGTAAGCCTGGGAATGTGTTCTTTTATTCCAGCGACGAACAAAACTTTCGCCTGCTCTCTTAGATATGGAGAACAGTTCTTGACACTTTGGGCATTGGTGAAGTTCATCATGGTTAAACGTCTGTCAGCACGAATATTTTCATAAATTTTTGGAGGATTTCATCAGCGACAAAGGATGGCCTTCCATTCCTTATTTCATCTTGAACATCACTTCTTCCCACTTCAAACTGACGATACCATTTTTGCACGTTTAGCCTCTTCACAACATCTTCGCCGTAAACAGAAACAAGTTGGCGATGAATTTCAGCAGCAGTTTCTCATCTCTCGTGAATAAATCGAATTACTGCACGAACCTCACATTTGGAGGATTTTGAATCGACACGGCCATTGTAAACACACTACGAGTAACAATGCTGCCACGATTGTGACTGGTGAACTAAGCCCTGTCGTACGATTCCTATCTCATACGGCAGCACTGCCATATCTGAAGAAGAAATCCCTTGAATTTTTGCTGGGCTTGTATCTTTACTTTCCGAATATCTCTCGTATTCATTAGTTTGATAGATAAATGTATACTGCAGAAATAGGGAGTGAAGGCGTCAGAGGTTTGGTGCAAGTCAAGCATTTGTGACAGGCCTATCGCCAAGTTAGGAAATGAGCATGTAGCACAACAATTCTGGCACATACGCTCTATTGTTTAATTGCCCCATTAAATATTTATCGAAATTAGCTGGAGATGCAAGCAGAAAGGCATGCAGATCTTCATGCATAATGTCGGTTACTGTTTTTCAATTTCAGCTAAAATCGGAAAGTGTCCACAGTTCAGTGAACCTGCACAGCGTCAAATTTAAATGAAGTCCTATAGGGAGTTATTGAGTTATTACACGGACGCAGCGGGCATTTTTTTTTTCATTTCTTAATATCTACCGCACCACAAATGAAGGAATGAGAAGCGAATGACGCTTTAATGGCCTATATTATATATTGCATAACAGCGCTTCAAAGAATGCCCCGGTACTTCTGTCCGATTGTACAGCCACTCTGTGGTTGTTACTCGCGGTCTTGTTAAAATGATCATGCAGGGCTCATTATGCTACATGAGGTTGAGAAGAATATATTTCAAAGAGAAAAAAGGTAAAGTTATACCTGTGCTTAAATACATCACTGTGGTCGCGGTGCAAGAGCCAAGGCCCGCCTTTTACATTCATTCACTCAACTAATTAAGCACTAAGCCATGAAGGCGTATAGGGGAGTTTGTGTATAGATCCACAGTTTCTTCATCTCAGCAATAGTTGGATGAGTGATCAGCTTCACGCTCCGGCCGCTTTATCCCCAGGAAAAGAGTTCCCTGGATAGGCTGGGTGGGCCCTGTGGTGCAACAGATAACGCATCTGACTACGAATTTTAAAGAGTAAGAATTGAAAATTAACGTCAGTGACAAACTGCGACCTCATTCCATTTCTGAAAGGTACTTATGATCTGCCTTTATTTTAACTCCACAGTAACATGAAGTGAAAGTATCGGTCAAGGGGGGAATACTCATGTGTAGTCTCGGGTTCAGATATCCCAGAATCCTAGATTCTTAAAGGTTTTTCACGATTATCCCGAGGTTCACGTAAATTCTGTAATAGTACATCACGACCGCATCCTTCCACACCCATTCCAATTCATTATTCACTAAACAGCCAATCATTCGATCCCATGTACTGAGTTACTGACAGGGTATCAACTGAATAACGAAATAAGAGCCTTACAACCACTCGCAACAACCCGCAACACACTGGATCATCGATGTCTGAAGTTAACTGAAGAATGTGCATCTTCAGTCAGCTGAAGTAGCATGACACAATTTGTATGCAAATATGGTATTTAATCAACAGGTAAGGTATAAAGACAAAACTGCCCCTGTGCTTAAATATTTAAGCACTACGCCATGAAGACATTTAAAGGAGTGGAGGTAAAGCGCCACCATTCTTGATGTCGACACTAGATGGAGGTGATTGGTCAGCTTCAAACCGCGGCAACTTTACTCCCGGAGAAAGAGCCCCCAGTACCAATCGGATAGGAGGCTGGGTGACCTTTAGAGCCGGTCTGGACGCTGCGGGGTTAATCTACAAGCAAAAATTTAAAAAATCTGAAAGGAATTTGAAAATTTTTAATTCAAAAATAGACATCAGGAAGGCCTGGCAAAGCATTAGGAAGAATATAACAAATTCAACCAAAATGAGTCTATGAAGAAAGCAGTTTTCTGGGATTTGGCATCGTGTATATGTGGTGTTAACCGACGTTTCGGAGGAACGTATCGCCTCCATCTTCAGGGTAGAAGAAAAAA